ATGTGCAGACTTAGCTAAATGATACAAGCAGCCATTTTTACGTATATGGCAATCCTCTGCTAGTTTGAGCCAGCTAGCCTTATCTGCCTCGGAGACATGATCAGGGAACTTCCCGGTCTCTAGGAACGACATTATGGAGTTGCAAACAAGATCTTGCTTTTGTTCCAGTAAGGCGTCGTAGGGTTTAATCGCGATTGGAGTGATAGGGGAATCAGTGGGTTGAAGAGAACGTATGCGATAATTTTGCACTGCGAGACAAACCGGAAACTCGACGATGTCCTCTGATTCAGGGGTAGTGTCCTGAACGTGTGTTTGAGGGGTGACAGAGCGAGAAAGACAGTCTGCCACGACGTTGGAGGACCCTTTCAGATATTCGATGGTTATATTATAACTTTGTAGCTCGACTACCCACCGTGCCAGATTGTCGTGGGTTTTGTTATGCTTGAGAAGATAGGTTAGTGGGCGATGATCTGAAAAAATACGGGTGAGATGGCCATAGATCGTAGCTTTGAAGAACCGCAGGGCACTAACCATTGCGAATAGTTCCACGTGAGTTGGACTCCACTTCTGTTGGGACAATGTTAGCGCTTTGCTATAATAACCTATCGCCACCAAGGATTTCTCGTCGTGGGCGGACTGCTGGAACAACGCTGCACCTACTGCAATCTGGCTGCCGTCCGTGTGCAGAATAAAGTCACGTTCTTGGGGAAAGGCTAGGCATGGTTTGGTTATTAGTTTGTTCCGTAATTCGTCGAATGCATGCTGCTGTCGTGAGCCCCATTCGAATTTGACATTATCTTTCGTTAGTTCGTATAAGGGCGCCGCGATCGTGGCAAAACTTTGTATGAACTTGCGGAAAAAGTTTACCATTCCTAGAAACCGTTTAACTTCCTTTGCCGTAGAGGGGGTCTGAATGCGTTTAACTGCCTGAATGTTCCTGTCGCATGGGTAATATTTGTCTCCAGAGATTTCGTGACCAAGGAACGTAACTTTAGAGCGTGCGATGTCCACCAATTTCTTGCCTGACACTTTAATGTCAAAGTCACGGAAGCGGCGGAAT